CTCTGCTTCTTTGAAACATATGCATTCTTCTGTTGATTCTGCAGGACATTTTTCAAATGCATGGATGCATTTGTGGGTTTGGGGGAGGGGGGAGGGGAGGGGCTCCACAAAACATACTACAAGCTCAGAAAGGTACAGAACTTAACTATAGATTGTACTTGACTCCATGTTCACATTGTGAGGTGGAAGCTGTGCAGATCCTGATTTTTTTAAAAAGTGAACTTCAATGAATATCTCTTCTTTCCCTAACCTAAAGATGCTGCAGATCACATCTTGGACACTCTGTATGCAACACCTGCGATCAGACTTGTGATCCTTCTCAAAATGGCTACACCAAGACAATCAGTGTCCTTTTTGCCACCAAAAACCCTTTCCCCCTTCGTATACACACATCATTTTGCTTGTCAAAATTCATCCTAGGGTTTTGCTGGGCCAAAATCAGATGGGTTTAAGAATGTACTCATGGGGGTACCCTAACAAATTCAAGGGGATAATAAGCAGCAGCCCATGCACTTGGCTATTTGCTATTTTTGTAACATGTTCAATGTGTATTGTACGCCACTAATCCCCTTATAATGTCTTGTCTCCCTTCTGGCAGTGCACATAGTGTTTTGCTAATCAGATAGTCAGTTTTCTCAACTCTGCCCAACCCTAATTGTAACTAATGAGAGGAACTATGCATTTCTAGGTCCTTATTCCAGGAAGCACTTTAAATAGAATCTGCCATGGGCAGAAAAATATGAGCTAAATAATGCAAGATAGTTGGCAGAAAAATATGGCACTATTAAATTTTACCAAATGTATATTTTAAAAACCTTCTCCTGAACCCATTATTATCCAGACTTCCAAGTTACCTGACCTTTCTTCTTGTAATCAGGAAAATCCATAATCATCAAAGTAAGTTAATTGTTAGCAATAACTCCAGCTATGCTGATGGTATAAATAATGAATTGCAAAGCACAGGCTGCTAAAAATGTGGGTTTAAAGCAACAACAACCTTGCATTTAAAGGGGTTCTGAAAGCTCCGGCCCATTCTAGTGGGGTTGGAAGGTGATAGGCTGCCTGCCACATCCAAGGAGAAAACTTGCAGTTGAGGAGATCCAACAGCAGAACTGCATATACCCAACAGCGGACAGGTATCAAGATGAGAGCTGGTTATAGCAAAGTGATCAGAGCAAGGTTCTGTAGGACCATTTCCTGGGATGCTAAAAAGTGGCCTAGTGATGGCTAGATGGCTACCTGAAGAAGCATCTCTTCTCATACTATCCTGCCCATGGAGGAAGACATTCAGATGGGGCCCTTCTTGGAGGAACTCTCAGCTGGTGAAGTACAGTATGCCCAGGTTTGGCATCAAGGGGAGGCATGGTTGGCACCTGCTGGTGGCCCAATCTTCATCGAAGGCCACTGACCAAAGCTCTCTGGAGGAGCTCCTCTTTACCATGGTGTGCTGCTTGTTCCCCTGCCTCTCATTCTGGTCCAGACAACTGTGGTGATGAGAAGGAAGAACAGTAGGTGCTCTTACCTACTAGCTTACTCACCTTCTTGACTATTCAGCAAGCGCGTGGCAGCTATGATAAGGAAGAATCAAGAGTGAGAAGGTGACCTCATTGAAGGAGGGGACATATTTAGATTGTCTTGACTGTGAGCCCTCAAAATCCTTGGGCCAGAGTTGGTGTGCATGGACAAAGGAAAGGGCTTTTTCAGTGGTGGCACCCTGACTTTGGAATGCCTTCTGTAGAGAATTAAAGTCTGCAGTGAAGTATTATCACAATGTATTGTTCATGGAAAAATAGGAATGTGTTCTGAACACTCATTTCAAAACAGTAGGAACAGTGAGAGGTGAAAGGGGCAACTCTGGTTGCTACTGTTTATTTGGGATTGTCAGCAAGCAGCCTGTAACTATGGGTTGCCACAGAGAAGCTGTTAAGACCTTAGTGGTGCAGCATTAGGCCAGTAAGGTGATACATTCGACAAGCTGAGTTCGGACAGTGTATCACTGGCTTTCAATGGGTTATACCAAGAAACCAGTCAGTTGTCAAGTACTGGAGTAAATGTAGACCCATTTCAGTTTTGACTGAAAATGTGCAAAAGGGAAGTCACTGCAAATGGAATCGAAGGAATATGGAAGGATGGAGCCAAAGTTTTCTGGTCTGCTGTAGATGCCTTCTTGGATGCACACCTTAGCATGGCAAGGGGGTTTAAGAGTGTCAGAGCACTGCTGCCGGAAGGCCAGGTTCTGGTCTCCTAGCAGGTTCACCCAAGGTGGAGTGGTCAAAGCTGAGACACCAGACTAATGTGCATCCACCCACTTGAGAAGTAACAGTCGTATCAGCAGAAGAAATTTGGGTATTTCTAATGGTGACGGGGGCTGAGAAACTCCCGCAGGGCAGCTACTGGGCAGCAGCGGTGGCTGAAGGCACCACTGGCAGGGAACCTTCTGCAGTCAACAGGATGAAGATCAATAATTCAAAACATGGTTCTGGAAGAGCCTTTGCAAATAGCCTGGATCAACAGAAAGAGGCATATTTTAGTCCTAGATTAAGTCAAACCAGAACTTGCTCTGGAAGCAAAAATGGTGAATCCACCGTGTCACTTTGACCACATCATGAAATGACAAAGCTCACTGGTGAAGACAATAATGCCAAGGAAAACCACAGGCAGAAAAAGGAGAAGACCAAATATATGATGGTTCAGTTCCATAAAGGAGGCTCAAGTCTTGAGTTGACAAGAGCTGAGCAGGGCTGTCAAAGACAAGATATTTTGGAGGGTGTCATTCACAGGGTCACCATGAATCAGAGATGACTCGTTGGCATGTAACAACAACAACAATTACTGTAGAATCCTTCTCCCCAAACCCAAAAGGTTTGGATTTCATTACATTCCCCGTCAATGGTTCTGTTTCCTATTTGTGGAGGACTCCCACCCACCCTGATTTCCTTTTTCTTGCTCACATGTGGGAGAATTAAAAGAAGGTATCCCCTATCTGCAACTTGAAGTAGTAGAGCTCCACCTACCAACACCTTTGGACTTCTCTATACCTCCTTCTGTTGCAAGTTGACTTTCTTCTGAATACATTTGCATATGATTGAGTAACCAACTTCCCCAGAGCAATCTGATATCTGGGAGGAAGGTAATCTTTAATATAGTTCTTTGCCTCCTACCAAGTAAATCATTTTGAAGCAGACTCAACGTGTGTGTGTGTGTGTGTGTGATATCGTTGCAACGTGATGCTCTGTTCAGCATCTTGCATTGTGGCAATTCCTCTCCAGGGGTCTTCTTTGATGGTCTGTAACCACCCAATGTGTCAGGCTCACTCCAAAGCCCTTTAACTGCAGTGTTCCCAATCCAAGTGACAAAAAGAGGCACGTGGGACAGCGCAGCCCCTGTTAAGACACCTGTCATCCTTTGCAGTCTGCTCTTAAAGGGGCCACATTCCCGTCATCCCTAATGAAATTCAGAATGCGACAGACTGGATTCCAGGATTCCTGTGCAGCCTCTAAATACTTGTGGATAACATGATAAATAACAGTTTTCAGTGGAAAGCACTGTGAAGAGAGAGCCTGGTTTAACCCTTTCTGCCACTCTGGATACTTATTGTTTCCTTCCTGTTATGCTGGGGAAAGAGAAATGGAATAAGGGGTCGAAACACTCAGAAAAAGAACCTTCCATGATAACAAGCTTGAATTAGGGGGATGCCACAGCATGGTCAGGGCTTAGAAGCTGTGCTATTCTATTTTAGCATATAATCATAAATCAAAGCATAAATGCATATACACAGACAACACCATAATTTATTTTCCATGGATTGAATCCAGCTGCTTTAAATCACATTGAGTTCAATGGGGAAAGGAAGTCATGCCTTTGCTTGATCCCCATTGATTTCAGTAGGAACCAGTGTAACTAGCTTCATCTGGAACTAACCCCAAATGTTTCTTGGTAATTGCACTGCTCTGTTGTGTTTTGAATACATTCTCCACACACATGCACAATGAATAGCGTCGTAAATATGGGAATGTATGAACTTTGATGGCATATCAGACTCTCTGTCAGGTTTGGGGTATATGAATAGATTCAATTCTTGAAACAATTTTTAATGTATCAACAGTGTTCTGTCACCTTTTCCAAGCTCTGATATGTATGAGAGAGAGAGAGAGAGAGAGGAGGAGGAGAATCAGCACAACTCAAGTTCACTGAAGTTCTCCTTACTGCATCTGAAAGCTCCTTCCAACTTTAAAACAATTGCATGAAAATCAATTCTGTACATCTTTGAATTGTACACATTCTTTTCCTATTGGAAATGTATATTTCAAAAAATACATTTTCCAAATGCACGCATGCCATTGAGCATGTTTTGGGGGAAACTATGGATCAGATGGCATGTTCAGAAAAATATAGGTTTCAACTGCAGCTTGCATCTAACTCCAAAAAGCTAATCTGCCTAACAAAAGGAATAGTTGCCCAACTTCCCATAATAATCCTTATGCAGTGGAGTATAAAATGAGTCATGGGTATACAATTTGGACAGATCGATCAAACTGTTTTAGCCACATACTTTGGTCGATTATAGAAGATGATTCCCATATTTCAGTGGAAATCCAGCACTGGTTTATTTGTAATCCCCTTTTCTTCCTCTTCCTCTTCTTCTACTTCCAGACTCCATAATGAAGGACTAGTGACTGGAAACTGTTTTACAATAACTAAAATGAGAGCTCAGTGGAAGTGCTGCCAAACTGATAAAGAACTTGACTTTTTAAGACAATTTTCCTTGTTTCTGATACACAGTGCATTCATTTTTTAATAATCCTAGAAGGTTTATTGCCTATTTATCTTTTAAAATAATTTTAGTTTACTGACTGTGAGTTTGTTATCTTTAGCACCCATCTGTTCTGCAATGCTTTGCATTGTTCGTGCTCAAGGAGAAACACATTTAACAATATATTATTACTGTAATTAATATCATCACCATCTAGCGTTATCCTTTATTTGCTGTTTCTCTGCAGAAACTCAACATACTGCATGAAGGTGTCAATGTCCTTGACAGTGGCTGAAAATGAATCAGGTCTTTGCTACAACAGCACAATTCGCTACTTAGAAAAATCAGAAATCACTCGAACCAAGATCATTTCCTGCCCTGATATTGAGGATTATAAGACTGGAAACCGAGAGCCAGATGTCATTTGGTACAAGGTAATGCATTTGTACACATGCTTTTTAGTTAATATGTTACAAATCGTGGCCAAATTTTTCAGTAAGGAAATGCTCACAGGGACGAAGAAAACAATGAAATTCTTTTAATATGTGTGGGATATCAGCTGAGGAAGTGGCATTATATTAGAGTGCTGCTCAAAGCAGCTGCCTGCAATCTTCTAGACTGGAGAACAAGTACTGAATCAGGAGCAAGTAGCCCGTGTCGTGACAGGTCAGGGACCAGGAAAGGCAACAGTTCTTCCTCTTCCTGGACCCCTCCTGCCTCTTCCAGAGAGCCTCCTATCGGAGTTCTCCTAGTCATCCCGGGAAACTGCAGGCAGAGACCTTGGTGGAGCTTCAAAGGCCACTGCTGCCCTGGAGTTCCCACCCCTTCCATCACTGAGCCTTCAAGGTATTCTGCAGAATCGGATGGATGCAGCTCTGGGAGATATGCAAAGAGGGAGCGCCTGGCCCACTCACCACACTGGTCATGAGGAGGAGGGGCTGAGGCACCCGCAGATCCCAGTGGCCCTCGCTTCTTCCCTCCCCAAGACCCAGAATGATCCTAGGTGCCAGCTCCAAAGTCATACTTGCAACGTGAGGCCAGACCCAGTGTGCAGGGTGTGACCACCAGAGGAGGCTATTCCATGGGTGGAACCCCAGATCTGGCCTCGGGGTGCATTTCCCATCCTGTGGCCAACCAAACAGCCTGTACATGCCGGACTGAACCCTTAATTGTTCAGTTCTGGTCTGTGTTCTGCTCTTACAAGTACTTTTGAAAATAAGGTGTTTTATGGACATATCCATAAACATATCTTTGCTGGTAAAGACACTGGTGTATCCAACAGTGGGCATCTCACTGTTCTCCTACAATTGAGCAATGGACAGAAGGAGTGTTTGAGCTCAGTGTTGGAGGAAAATCTCTTGTAATGTTTATTTCTTTAATGCTGTTATACTGCACTTTTCTGGGCAGTCCATGGTGGTTAACAAACCCCAACACATACAATTGCATTATCACAAATTAAAACAGTTCTAACAGTCAAGCCCTGTCCAGATGCCTCCTTGAAGACCAGAAGCAGAAAATGCCAACAGTAAAACTAGAAGCAGGGTTACAAGGGCAAGGGGACTGTCCAAGATCTTTAGCTGAAGGTAAGTAAAGACAGATGATGAGCTAAGTGAGGACTTTCTGTGCGGGAGTTCCATACTAGGAGTGAAACTTTTATTTAGAATGATTTTGCGTACTTTCTTTAGTTCTGGGCTGGCCTTCCTCTCATGCCTTTCTAATCTCTATCATTGTCGTCGTCGTCATCATTGTCTCTTTTCTCTTACATTTCATGTTGGCTGCACCTTCCTTCCTTCCTTCCTTCCTTCCATATTCTGAAGTGCAGAAAACTGAGACTCAATGGATGCACCCAAGTTAAAGATACATAATACATTTTTAATAGCTTTTAATTTTAAAAATGGAAACTATCTTGTAAGGAGACTGTGTTACAGATTGAACCACTAGTATAAGACAGGAATCCAAGTAAATGAAATAACTATACTGTCTCTGTGTATAGGGTTGCGATGATCCTAAGAATCTGGCCTTCTTCTGCTTGTTGGACTTCTTTCCCATGCTTGGCCCTAGCTTAGGAAATGAGGTGAGCCAAGGTGAAGTCCACAAATGCGTGGGGATGCTGGAGAAACTCCTCTTGCACCGCCTGGCCAGCTTCCTGTACAGCTCATGTGATGAATCCCAAGCCCATAAGGCATGTGTGAGGAAGAGGGACTTTGCCTGCATAGTACTTGTGAGGATTCCATTCCTGGTGGGCACCCATGCGAATGCTCAGCACCAGGTCAAATCAGGGCAGCGAGGAAGAGGCCTGGGGAACTCTGGGGAGCTGACCCAAAAGAACCGTACACGAATTCCTTATTTTCTTCTTTCTCTGGCCTCCAGGATGCTCAGCTGCCATAAGCAATAGTAAAACTAGAAAGCATCCTTACCACCTCGCTTGCTGAAGCAAGGAGAGACTGCCAGCTCTCATAGAACTCTGGCAGATGATGTCATTGAGCCCGTTCTGGAAAAGTTCTACAACTTTTCTCCCTTGTGTTCCACTTCCACTGCAACCCCTTTCCTTCTCCCCCCCCCCTTCCTTTTTTCTTCTCTGGTAGCTGTATCTCTGTAGCGCTTGATGAAAAGTTGCTGTGCTGTTCTTTGTGGCCCATAGTCTCGTGAAAAAAAATGCAATATAAATTTGCCTGTTTTTTTAAAAAAAAGAAATAAGAAAATAATCAAAAGCCAGATGAGGCATTTCCATTCCAAAAAATGCTTTTAATAGGCATAATAGTGGAATGTCAGGCAAAGCGTTTCTATCAGCCATGTCCCACTTTATTTGAGTACAGCTGCCAATGAAAATTAGGCAATTTGAGTTCCATCTCATCAGCCTTGCTGGGCTGAATTTCTGCACAAATAATTTATTTGGAGCTGGATGACATGCAGGGAGCCATGATATGTCAGAAGAGAACAGAAAGCCCAATGATGCTTGCTTGGTCTGTGTCGATTTTTTTTTTTTTTTTTAGGTTTACAAGAACGCTGCCTATTTCAGTGAAGTCTGACAAAACATGTGCTGTGACACAGGGTTGGCATAAATGAGATTTTATTTGTACCTTGTCAGCTACTAAGACAAGTTTCTCCCCAGATGTCTAGAGATATTTGTATAAGATATTTGGTTGAGTAAAAGAGGAAATTGTAGGATAGGGAAACCGTATTTTTGTGAATGTTTGGGAAGGGAGAAGTCAAACTGCAGTGATGCTTTTGGAAGTCCATAAACAGTGGTAGGTTGCACCTCAGAGCAGGTTTGGAAAATAAGGCCATGATTTCTCCTGATGAGTTGGATGCACTGATATTTAACATGAGGCCGGAAGGGAACAGTGCCTCTTGCAATGTGTTTCTGTCCATGTGTTGCTCTGATCTTGGTAAGCTGGAGTCAGGAGAATGGATCCAGTCCAGATGCTTTGATTCCTGCATTGCTGGGATCCAAAGCATCTGGCAGTTGCTCCTGGGAGGATGGCTGCTGGTATCCTCTGTGTTGTAGGGGCGATTTTACAGACGAGACCAGAGACTGGTTGGAATTACCGAGAGATTTATTTACCTGCCGGCAGGGACCATGCACTCATGAGAGTGTGGTGCTGAGCAGATCGAAGGCAGGATTTTTATACTCTTTTACACGGACGGCTATGCAGGTGCTTGTATAACAGCGAACAATAGGGGAAATCCACTGAGCTACACTCGCACACATTTTTTTATGCTAAAGCAAGCAAGCGAGAGCACAGGGCGCGACGCCATGCGGGAACGCAGCAACAAAGGCTGCTTTGTGGTCAGCCTTGCGTAGCGTGCACATTCGTTGGGGTTCTTGTTCTTACGCGAACAGGACACTCTGATCATGCTTCTTACCTGTGACGAGCCATGCCCTAGCTGCATGTTCGATTAAGAGGGGGGTTACAACACTCTGTCTCCCATAATCCTTGCAATTCATGGGCCAGTGACATGGTTATGGGGTTTCGATTAGGTGCACAAACCATTTATTTTTATTTATTTATTAAAACATTTCTATGCCACCCCTGTCCAGTTCACAACCCTGAATAGAAATGCATGCTCTTCAAAACTCTTGAACTTGCATTCACAAATGGGTACCCTTAAAATGTCCTGCCAGGAAGGTGGTGAGATACACACCATGTAGTCCGGAATTCCACCACAGACAAGATGTCCTGCAGTGGCTGGATCAGGCTCAATGCCAGGACAAACTCAGGGACAATCCAAAAGCAATCCTGTAAATAAGGTACAGGTTTGCTAGGCAACAGGGTGAGTTCAAAGAGAGAGTTCTGAGGAGCAGTCAAGGTCCAAATCCAGATCAGAAGGCAGATTGAATACACAGTCCAATAAACTGATTCAAGTACAGTCCAGAAGTCAGAAGCACAGAGGTCCCACTGCAAGGCAAGGTCAGGGAAATAAGACACTGGAGCTAGCAGAACAATGTTGTCCCAGCAGCTTAACCTTGACTGGAAGCTTTTGTAACCAGAGTTCCCACCTGTGGCTCAGCTGCAGTTCATTGAAGGTCCTAAGGCAAAGGACCTCCTCAGGATGAAGGATTTGCTGCTGGAGAGGCCTTTCTTCATGAGGAGTCCTAAGGACGCCTTCTCAAAGGAGCCCTGTTGCCTTGCCTTCCAAGAGGACCTTCTCTCAGGCACTGAAAAGTCAGTTGGCCGCTGTCTCAGAGGAGACCACCTCTCCTAGGGGCCCAGGCTCCTCCTGGTCACTGCTGTGGTCTGTGCCTTGGTGTTCTTAATCTCTGGGTGTCCTTGCTCTTCTTTGGAGGAGGACTGCTCAGTGGGGGGCATGGCATCTGGCCTCCTACTTGTAGCCATCTCTGCTTAGATATATGATCAAGATGGAGGCCAGGGCTTTATGAACCAACATGAAGTGGGACTGGCAGACTGGAACCAGCTGATGATGACCTCAGAGTATGTACCACCCACACATTACAGCATGGAATCAGCCAGTTTAGGAACCAGAACATGGGTGGTGCAGGAGGAAAGGTGCTGAGTCCTGACTTCCGACCCACAAACACACATTTAAACCAGATGTTGAGCCTGTTACTCTGCACTAGTGGGTAGGTCTACCTACCAGAAGATTGGAAGTGAGGCTATTTAACACTTGTATGGCCTCTTGAAAAGTTCGGAGCATCCATAGTGCATTCATGTGCACTATGTAGTTGCTAGCCTTCGAAAAACTCTGTAGGTTATCATCCCCTGTATTGCATGTGGTGGTGAGTGGGTGTGGGGGGACTGAGGCAGAGGACAGAGTTGAGATTCAAGCCAGTTTTTTAAGAATGACACTCCACCAACTCCCAGATCATGTCCCTCCTTTATTATCAAAGTGCCACACATAACTTATCCCGCATCTGCCTGATGGGTGACAACTAACTATTAAGTTGTCACATTGATTAAATTGAGCAGAATTG